TATCTGATTTTATGATATAATATTATCATATAAACACATATATGATTAAATTATATAATCGTTATCTAAATAATATACATTCATTCATCCATTAATCATTTATATGTATTTATGTACAAACTTACATACGTAATAAAGTAATATATTTATATAAATAAAGTAACATAATTACATATTTTTTTATATTATCTTATATTCTCTTATTTTATTATATAATATTATCATATTTACATATACAAGATTTCATTATATAATTTCATTTTATATTATATATATTTATATATTTATTTTTTTTTTTTAATTTTTAAATATATTTTATTATATTATTAAATATTTTATTTTTTAATATATTTTTTATTTTTTTTTTTATTTTTTTTTTATATATATATACATATATACATATATATATATATATATATATATATATATATATATATATATATATATATATATATATATATATATATATATATATATATATATATATATATATATATATATATGCAGTTTCTAGGGGTCTTTCGAGTTAACTGTAAGTGCAGATCTGCATGCAGACTGTGTGTGTGTGGATCAGACTCATTTGAATTCTATGCTCACATGCGGTAAAAACCAAAGAGAAAAGTTAATGCATAAATCTGAATCTAAGCAACAGAGCCCTGACGAACAAGGTCAGCATAGAAAAGCCCCACCCCACACACACACAAACGGTATTATCAAATCAACACACACCATTCGTAACCATTTATGAATTCATAAGATACAGAGCTTTTTTCAAACATTGGAATTCATATATCATTATTCCATGTTTCTGAGCATCTGGTCATAAGATTATTGTTTTTATTTTGCTGTTATTTTGCAGTTTTTTTTTCATATTCAACATTAAGCAATTAACATCTAATTAGATTAAATCTGATGAAACTCCAAGTAATTTAATCAAGAAATAAAAGCACTGAAAACAAATGCTCACTGAATATAATTGGGAAAAGTGGCAAAACAAGCAACAATTTGATTTGGTGTTTATCTTTACTATTTAGCAGTTTAGCTATTTGTTTATGCTTTCGTCATTTTTATTTACACTTTTGTTTGAGGATTTGCCTTTCCAGTTTTTGTTATTTTGGTTTAAATTTAGGTTAAATTAATTTTTGGTTTTAGTATACTATTATAATATAATATTTAGTATGTTTCAGTGTACTGTACATGTTAAAAAAGTTGCTTTTAAAACATGTATTTTAAATAAATTAAAATTAATAAATTAAATTAATAAATTAAAATATTTATTAACATTTATTTAACTAAAATTGAAAGACTTANAGCTAAATATTGCAGATTAAATGTGTTGAATTTAAACCTATTCAGTCAAAAATGTGTGTGTGTGTGTGTGTGTATATATATATATA